GCAGCAGCAGCAGCAGCAGCAGCAGCGGGGAGCCCCGCAGCAGGCTCATCGGCATGGAGTTCGAAAACAAACCCCCCTTCCGCTGCGGCGTGGGCTTTCTGGGCAATGAGGCGCAGCCCGAAGAACCTGAAGTGCCTGGGAAGCTGCTGCTGCAGCTGCTGCTGGGGCTTTGTTTGCTGCACGGCTTCCAAACTGTGTGGCTGCTGGACTCAGCAGCAAATGTGCACTCCCGCGAACTCCTCAAGTTCGCAATGGCAGCAGAAGCTGCCACTTCTTATTACGAGACCAGCGGCTTCCTCTTCAGCGTGGACACTGTGCTGCAGCGCCACACCCCCGTGGTTTGCGGCTCCTTCGAGGCCCCCAGCAGCAGCAGCAGCAGCAGCGAGGGCCAGCAGCAGCAGCAAGACCTCGACGCCATCTGCGCAGTCCACTCCGACTTGCTGCAGACTCCTGGCTCAGACCCCACAGTTCTTTTTCCCTTGAAAGAAAAAGCTTTCAAGTTGCTGCAGGGCCTCACTTTCGACTGCAGCGCCCCCTCCTGGGCGGGCTGCAACAGCAGCAGCAGCAGCAGCAGCAGCAGCAGCAGCAGCAATGACCTGTTCCCGCTGCTGCGGCTGCAGCAAAACGGCCGCTGCGCCTTCCAGGAGCAGCCAATGTGGCAGCAACTTGCGCAGCAAAGTCCGAAGCACTGCGGGCTGGGGGCGCGGGTGGGGGCCTGCCACAAGTGGGTGCGGCAGCAGCTGGGCTGCAGCAGCAGCAGCAGCAAAGGCTGCCCCTACCTCAAGTTTCTTTACTCCAACTTCATCACTCCCGGCTCAGACTCTGCGCAGAAGCTGCCGCCTGCTGTGGCTAGCTACTGGGAGGCCCACGGCCGGCAGCTAGCTGCAGCTGCTCACGTGTCGCCGCGGCAGCTGCTGCTGCGGCTGCTGCAGAAGGAGCTCGACAGCTGCAGCAACAGCAGCAGCCTGCAGCGCGAAATGCAGCGCCTCGGCCTCGACTGCGAGCAGCTGCAGCGGGACGGAGAGCTGCTGCAGGAGGTGCTGCAGAACTCCCTGCTGCTGGTCGACTACACCAGTCTGCCCCAGTTCTGGGTGTCGCGAGCAGCAGCAGCAAACGTTGCAGCAGCAGGAGCAGCAGCAGCAGCAGCAGCACGACACCACCCCCAGTGCCCTGCTTCCTTTGCCTGGGAATTCATTCGCCGCATGCAAGGCCAGATGTACAGACACACCAGCACCTCCAGACCCTCCATAGGCTCTGTAGCAGCAATTCGCCCCCATGCCTTAGACGAAGAGCGGCATTAGCAGCAGCAGCAGCAGCAGCAGCAGTAGCAGCAGCAGCAGCGGGAGCTGCAGCAGCAGCAGCAGTAGCAGCAGCAGCAGCGGGAGCTGCAGCAGCAGTAGCAGCAGCAGTGCAGCAGCAGTAGCAGCAGCAGCAGCGGGAGCTGCAGCAGCAGCACGAGCAGCTGCAGAACAGGCAGCAGTGGCACCGGAACAAACACCTGCAGCAGCAGCACGAGCAGGTGCAGAACAGGCAGCAGCAGCAGCAGAAAATCTTGCTGCTGCATCGGCAGCCGAACTAGCAGCATTGGCAGCGAAACAAGCAGCTGCGAAAGAGGCAGCACCTGCAGCAGCAGCTGAAAATTTGGCAGCAGCATCAACAGCCGAACTAGCAGCGCTGGCAGCGTAACAAGCAGCTGCAGCAGCAGCGGCAGATGCAGCAGCTGCAGCAGCAGAAAATTTGTCGGCAGCGTCGGTAGCTGAACTAGCAACTTTGGCAGCGTAGCAAGCAGCTGCAGCAGCAGCTGCAGATGCAGCAGCTGCAGCAGCAGCAGCTACAGCAGCAGCAGCAAACAAGCCGTAGCATTCTCTCCAAGCAATTAGCTTTTGTAGGAAAGCTCTGGGTCTCAGCAGCAGCTACCTCTACGGAGGCGTTTTGCTGCTGCCTCCAGAGCCTTCAGCACACCACTAGCTGCTGCTGCGGGTGCTGCTGCTGCTGCTGCTGCTGCTGCTGCACTTCCTTTTAGTAGTTCCCACGCGGGCACATTGCTTGGCCCAGTTGATATTTTCCTTTAAAGCCCAGCAGCAACTGATGCAGCAGGTGTCTGTACACCCCAGGGTGCAGAAACAGCTGCATGCACTTTTGCATTTTTGCTGCTACACCTCGCGGCTCTAGGCTTTCTCAGCAGCTGCTGCTGCATCTTAGGGTTTAGGGTTTAGGGTTTAGGGCTTGGGATTCAGCGCACCGAGCTACCAGCTTCACTTTTCAGGGTTTAGGGTTTAGGGTTTAGGGTTTGGGGTTTCCCTGCAGTGTCAGTCTTTGTCGGCGGTTGCTTGTCGTGCAGAGGGGCCGCTGGTGGCCACAGGGTTTGGGTCGGTTTAGGGTTTAGGGTTTAGGGTTTAGGGTTTGATTGAGATTTAGATCTAAAGGGTTTACGTCTCCGAAGTGGCAGCTAGACCATGGAAGACAGGGAGCAAAAGAACCCAGCAGCAGCAGCAATAGCAGTCTTTGGTTGCTGCTGCTGCTGTTGGTGCTGCTGTTGCTGCTGCTGCTGCTGCTAGAGCCTAACAAAACTACTCCAAATCATTTCATGTGCTTCTGGGCTTTTAACCTTCGCCTTTTAAGGGTCCCCCAGCGGGCCCCCGAGGGGCCCGCAGAAGACCCCTTGGGGGCCCCCGGGGGGCCCCTGGGGGGCCCCCGCCCATAAATGTTCTTGTTGAATGTGAATTTTTCTTTTATACTTTTATAAACTCATTTTAATGTCATGAAGGCCCTTAGGGGCCCCCAAGTCTCTGGGGCCCTCCTGCAGACATGGCTGGGGGGCCCCCCAGCCAGGTTTGCTTCTGCTGCTGCTCGGGTGTACCCCTCATATGAGCTCACGGGACCCCCTCCTGCTGCAGCCAGCTGCCCAGCTGCTGCTGCTGCTGCTGCTGCTGCTTGCAGATGGAGCGGCAGAGCTTCCCCCTCGCTGAGGCCTTCCAGCGTTGCTGCTCCTGCTGCAGCGTCTGCTGCAGTTCCTGCTGCAGCTTCTGCTGGCAGCAGCCGCTGCAGCAGTACGTCGTGTCGGGCTTCCTCAGCAGCAGATGCCGACGCACAGCTCGCTCTAGAGCAGCAGCAGCAACAGCAGCAGCTGCTGCAGCTGCAGCAGCAATGGCTACGCTCTACTCCTGAGAGCCACGTGCTGGCGAAGCAGCCACTGCGGGCCCGCACTGCAGCAGCAGCAGCAGCAGAAGACGAGCTGCTGCTGACGCCAGCAGACTGTCTGAACTTCTTCAAGCTGCACCAGGGCACGCTGCGGCCTGAGCGCTACCTGCTGCTGCTGCAGCAGCTGCAGCAGGCTCTGCACCAGGACGCTGACAGCAGCAGCAGCAGCAGCAGCAGCTGGAGGCGCTGCATTGATGAAGTGGACGTGGTGGCGCTGCAGAAGTGGCTGCTGCTGCGCGTGGACACGATCCCGGCCCGTTTGCTGCTGCGTTGTTTGCTGCAGCTCGACCAGCTAGCCATGTGCAGCAGGCTGCTGCTGCATGCTGCAGCGCCGCTGCTGCTGCTGCAGCTGCCGCAGCTGCGCCTCCAAGGGGCGCTGCAGCTGCTGCAGCTGTACGTACACCGCAAAGCAGCAAAACCGCAGATGTGCATACAGCTGGCTGACTGGATTGCAGCATGCGGCAGCAGCGGCTCCTTGAGCTTCCAGCAGCAGCAGCAGCAGCAGCAGCA